ATGTTCTTTCGACAAATATTAATCAGTTTGCTTGGTTGTGTACCTTTTTTATTAACTTCTGGTAGAAAGTAATTGTGCATAAAACTGGATACAAGGTTTTTGCTGAAATGATATATACACTATTAACATCTGGTCAATTTGATTATTCACAAATATAATTAACAGTAAATATGCAAATCTCGAATCTTTATTAATGTATTGAATTTCACTTTTTATTATTGAGTGCACTCCCTATAGCTTTGTTAGTGTATGATTTGTTATCTAACATTTGTTGGTAAGTCACGTTTAAAATTCTGTGGTCGTCGCGCTGCGCCGCGTCTTCGAATTAAATGTATTGCAACCAATGGATTTTACACGCGTTGTGTATGTCGGTATGAATCCCATATCGAACAGGACGCGGCGCGACTACAACCACCCTTCAACATATTTAAATATTATGGGTTTGATAACATTTACCAAGTATCCGTATACTATTAGTGTGCTCTTAAGTTGGCAAATTCCGTTAGAGCTGGTTGTTGACTGTGTTGAGTTGTTTGTCTTGACAGTGCAACAATTTACTATATCTCAATGTGTCAGTGATATAGGCGACAACCCCTCCTGGAGCGTGTAAAACCACGAATTAAATGAACGCAACAAAATAGTAATCATGTCATCAAAAATTACTCCAAATATCAACACGCCCTTAAATCCATTAATGTTGCTCATAGTATTCCGCGAATCGGTGCGCTTTATTTTATCGCCTTTATTAATTTACGTTTTTTATCACACTAAATTTTTCACCATGTTTTCATTCAGTTGTCTGCAACATGAAGTTAAGTTTATTATTGGTAGTTTACACATGCGTAATTGCCTGTGCAAATGCACGCGGTTTAAGGGTAAGTATAATTAAATAGATACTCATTTCCGTTGTTGTATATATATTCCCCCTGATTGTCTTCGGCCACTTAAACGAAAATTTAGTTTCGATAGAATCTTAAATTGAATGCACGTTACCAAGACATTGTATATTGGGAACATTTCAATACCTAAGTGAAAAAACATTAGATAGGGCAAAAACACAAGTGTATGTAGTATAATAACAATTTTACTCTCTCTATACATTTTACGTCCTGATTACACATGCCTTTTCAAATTCACGTTGTATATCACATCTATTGCCTCCCTCAGTGTAAACTTAACGCCGTACTTTTCTTTTTCTCGACACACCAGCAAGTTGAAATAATAAGCGCCACTGCTGGTGAGTATTTGTGTTCATTGTTTCAACGTATTAACACGCTATTCCTGATTATTTAAAACTACACGGTGTGTTACTAATATCGATAGTGTGAAGTGATATCCTGGATAAGATATTATCCAAATCAATATCAATATATTTGGAGAGCTTTGTTTAATAGTGATATGAATTATATCCTAATCTGCATTCGTGGGATGTTATATTATAGCTCGGGCTCATTTTTTTTTTTACAAACTCGTATTTTCTCTTGGTTGCATCATGGAGGTATATACCTCTATGGTTGCATACTTTGAAGCCCATTTATCTTCCTTGATTCTTTTTACCTCCAAGCTTTGACCCTATTTAGTGAAATGTTTGTAAAATAGTTTGAAATACTATTATAATAACAATAGTTTATAAAGTATATCAGGCATCATATAGATTGTAGTGACGACTGTGTTGTTGAAAGTCATTTCATATATTTGAAATATTATTCTAGAATTGAGATGTTCCGATGGATCATTGGTTAACTGCTTAGTGGATCCATGTGATGTGACGTCATGCGAACTTCCGTATGCTGGATGTGAAGCTGATTACTGCGGTGGTTGTAACGCCATATACTATGATGCTGACGGCAATGTATTGGATTGTTCGGGTAATTATACCATAACTGATTGTACCATTGTGTACCATTTTATTTATTGACTATGTAGTTTTGTTTTGTTTTTGTGTGCCGTTTTATCAACGGTTGTCAATTGTTTTGTGTTCTTGGACATGTAGATTTCCCTATAAGACTTTTGTTTGAGGATTTATGGTTGGATATGTTATTGCAACATTGGAACACAGAAATGTTTCAGCAGGCTTACCTTTGTTTACTGGTTTAATGTTGTTCATTAATCCAAAGCTCAAATTATGCATTCGGGTTAATCGCAAGCTAGATCGACGTGGTAATCATTAAAGTGCATGTTTTGTAATACGTCAAAAATAGTTAATAATACAACTATGAGTCAATATCATTGATGATTTACCTCATTATAATACGACTTGGATATAATAAACCGTACTGAAGAATTTTTTGCACGCAAGTAAATGTTCCAGTACATTTTCACTCTTGTTATATCGTAAAATATTACGATTTCAAAAGTCCTACATTCAAAGTTACACTTTTTACCAAGGAGTTAGTTATTATTATTGTTAGTTATTATCTTTCTATACCGTAATTACGCTAGATATCCACCACTTCATTTATAAAAATAAGTCCCATAACACTCACACGTCAGCTGTTTGTATAAACCTTATAGCTTTTATTTTGAAGCTTTGGTTTTCTTAAAGATTTGTTTTGTTTTATAATCACGGAAGCTTTGAATTTCTTACTTTAATACACGTACTCTGTTTATTTTTATACCTCTTCACAGTTGGGCTAAAGAGTTTTAAACGCATTTATCAAATATTCCTACTTCTGATGCTATTGTCGTTCCGTACTTTATTTTTAGATCACCTTGGCGAATGTCCAAGAATTGGTAATGATGACCAAATATGTGTCCCGTGCATAAAAGACAGGAACTGCGGTACCTCTGAAAAATGTTGTGATGATTGTTGCAAGGTTGCTGTAACAAGTAAGAATTTGATATCGATGTATATTGTAGTACTCATACAATGAAATTTCAATATATGCTTTAGTCGATATAATAACAACAAAGTTCACCCCAGAAACAGTGGACATACAATGTCAATGACATCATAACTTATTTTCTACCTCGGTTTCGCCTTGGTTAACAATAGGAGTAACGTTTGTATATTGCTAACCCCATTTTATGTAGAGCCGTATGGGTGTCTTATGAGTGATGGTTCATTCTGGCCAGATGGTGCTTATCGTATAATAGACTGTGTCCTATGGTATGTACGAGTACAATGCAATATATAATGTCACGGTTCATTCAATATTCACGTTTATTGTAATATAAAGTAAACACGACAGTGAATTCTGTTTTATTTGTGTATGTGTTATTATTTTGAATATATAATTTACTTTCTTTACTCAGTCAGTGTCAAGGCACGGCGTTTAGGTGCATTGTACAGATATGCGGTGAGTTCCTTTAAAAAGTTTCCACCACAAAATCCTTTAAATTTAATACTTTTTTAGTTCATCGTTTATCAATCATTACTATGTTCATAAAAGATGTCTCGTATTTCAGAGATTTGCGAACGTAAAATTGCAAAGTAATTTAATTATCATGGTACCAGCACTCAATACACGGAGTTTGATTGTTCATGTACAGTAACCAAGACACAATATTATAAATTCTTACATAACCTACCTCACATGATGAAATGTAATTTAGAATAGACTTCTACACATCACTGTCTTAAACTAATCCATTTTTAGTTAAGCAAATTAATAATTTATTAACAGCATGTGCAATCAAATCATACAGATTTTTTTTAGAAATTTTATTAAGTATTATGATTTTCCTCACGATCAATCTAGCTCCAATGATCTTGAAGTCAGTACTTCTTCATGGATATAGTATCAGTCAATTTTACAACATTGTTATTGTTGTCTAAACAAGCGTGTTTTATGTATTATGTCAAATTGGCTTGCGATAAAGAAATGAAATTATATTATAAAGTTTTCCTTTCATAGATGTGCATCCATGTCCCGGTGGTGTTCATTTGACCTCACATGGTTATACAGTGTTTTGTGGTACCACTCCTCAAACTGGATCCATTATTATAGAAGACTGTCCATTCGGGTATTCCTGTCTCGGAGATACCAACTATAAATATTCTCTGTGCTGTCCTGATGGTAAAATATTTTTAATATAATTCAGTTTGCACAATTGTATGGACAGTATAAATTTACTCTTACAATTATGAATATTAATATATTATATTTGTTGTACCGACAGATACTACTTTGGGCTGCTATGTGAATAATGCTTATATACCAAATGGTGATTACTATATTAACGACGAGTGTTATGCATGGTGAGTTAAAATGCGTAAGAAACTATTTAAAATGAAAATGAACTTTTGGAAGCATATCTTTATTAGCTTTCCATATAAATTAATTACATTTTAGGGATTCAAGACCTTAAACAGCTTTCATTATTATGTTTATATTGATATTATGCGTTCCTATTCAAAATATATTCACACCAGTTTTTATTTAGTTTAGATTGACCCCATAGAGAAAGCGTTCCTCTGAACGTTCACCGGCTTTTAATGAGTATAGTGGGGATGAGTCACACAGAAACTGAAAGTCAAATATAAACTGACAGCTCTCAAATCCTCGTGCTCGTACATTTATTTAGGGGTCTAAATTGTTGGTTGGTAACATACATTTGCTCCACTTAGATTCAAACTTGTTTTTGTTCGATTGTTGATGTCATTTAATTGCTTCCAATACTGCATACATCACACAGATGAGGAAGATGTCATATGTCATACATAGTTTAAGGTTTGTTCTCCTGCGGGCGTCTTGACATCCGGGCATTTCTGCTATGTCACTTTACTTCGTATTGTCGTTATCAAGTGATCTTGTTGCACATGTTTGTCATAATCCAGATGTCATTATAATGTTGACTTTGTTTTTTTTCAGTCAATGTGTAAACGGTAGGATTACACGTGAGGACACACCGTTATGTGGTAAGTGTATATCCATTAACCTCTGCATATGAAATGTGAAAAGGATTTGTTAACGCATAATATAACTTGTTTGTTGACGCTAGTGACGTCATGGACTAGTAGGATCCACAAATCGAGGGCGAGTGGATAATACACCCCATGAGTCCCATTTTCATAAAGACACACATCACATTATGATCTATGCTACTTGGGAATGGCGTCTAACAGTGTCAGTGACTGTCAATTCTCGTAACGCCCTTTCTCTCTGGTGTCCTTTTCAAATACGCATAAATTGATGACGTGTTACATTTAATGTTCGATAATGGTATAAACGTCATAAAATTGAATGAATGCACAGTGTGCACGTGATCATGCGATAGACATTTTCTTATCGCATTGCGGTGTCAGATGAATTGTAATAAAGTTGTAGATAAACAGTTTTATTTTGAACTAGTCGGTTTTAAATTTTAGACATTTTTGAATATATTATCTGTAGATAAAATGTGTCCCAGTGGAGTACAACCTTATAAAGACGACCAAAACATGAATGCATTGTGCTCCGTTGCAATTGGTGTTGATAGTATATTAACTCGGACCTGCCCACGTGGTTTCTACTGTAACATGATAACGAGTTCGCACGGTGTGTGCTGCCCGCTGAAACGTAAGTATTTACATATTTTATTTTCATTTTCCATTGCGAAATCAGACTTTAAGGCGTCACAGTTTCTGTCCTGTCCCATGCTACGTATGCAAAGCGCGTATATTACATTTTGTCACAATTACATTTTTGAAACGCTATACAACGATTGTAACGCTTCAATGTCTACTGTGCTAAGTAGCGACAAATTTAATTGTTACGAACTGCTACTTTTAACAAATAAATAAAAAAGTCTCTAATTTATTCCTCATTTATATTATGGGTAATTAAC